CATTACATTATGAAAAATAATGACCTTTATCACAATATGCTAATTTTTTGAGAAGGACCTGTAAAAAAAAAATTGCCAATCATCTTCCCAACTGTTTCAAACTTACCTTCTTGCTTTACAGCTTCTTGTTGCTTTTCCAAAGTTCCCTTCTTGGTCTTAAGCTCTTCAGCTGGAGACTCTGAATCTGCCTTTGGACTTGTCTGGACTGGTGAGGCCTTCACTGAAGTTTTGTTTGTTTGGAAGGTGGTTTGTGGTCCCTGAAGTGAATCAGTAGAAGGTTTAGGTGGAGACATGCGTGGAGAGGTCTTGACTGCACTGGTTTCTGGATGACCATCAGTCAGTTTAGCTGGTGAAGTTTTTGTATCAGTCAGCTTTTGGTCTTTAGACTCAGCAGAACTCTCAACTACCATGGGCTCTGTTCCTTCTGTCTCAAGCTTCAATTGTTCTGAATCGCCTTTTGAAACTGACTCGACAAGTCCAACGACCTCGACCAGTTCCTTCTGTCCAGAGGCCGTTGCTCCTGTTGTCGTAACTTTGGTTTCGTCTTTGGGCCCCAGAGCAGACACTTTTTCTGTTTTTTCTGTGGCGTTATGATTTTTTGAAATTACACTTCCAGAAGGCAAATTTTTGTCTTTTGCACAAGCTTCCTGTTCCACAGCTTTTAGTCCAGTCACTTGTCCCGGTTGTGTTTTAACTTTTAATGTTGTTGAAGACGTTTCAGCTTTGGAAGTCGAATTCTTTTCCTCTTGGACAAGTTTCTTTGTTTTAGCGACAGCTGTGTTGGCCTGTTCTTTGGCCTTGGCTGCATCTTCAGGTGCCACTTTTGATTTATTAGTTTTGGACTCAGATTTGGTCGACACTGCTTTTGGTTTAGGACCATCAGGCTTCTCTTGTGAACTCTTGGATTTTGGGGCTGTCGCGAGTTCTTTTCTTTTGTTCTCATTGCTCGTTGTTACAGTTTTAGCCACCTGCTTCCTGGAGATACCCTTTGCTTTGGATACCAAAATTTTTGCTTTTGTGACAAGCTTGCCTGACGTGGTATTTTTAGCTCCAGATGATGTTAACAGAGTTTTAACCTTTTCAGAGGACGTAGATTTAGTAGTTTTGGAGGTCGAGACATCGGACTTTGCATGTTTTCTGTGAAAAAGAAAGATGGAAAAGGTTTGAACATTTAGCCATTTAAGAAATAGTCTATGCTACAACATTTAGTATCATACGGAAGAACTTTGTTTTCAATTACCATAAATATTAAAAATTGTGTGGGAACAATTATTGTCAAATCAATACATCAATGAAATGTAAACCCTGCCTTTAATATAACTTAGAAACGTTATGCAAACTCTGCTTGGAATGGGAATACATACAAGGATAAATGTGTGAAAGGTCAATATTAAACCAAAAAGCATTTCTACTTTTTACATTTTTGGCCTTTTAAGAACTTAAACAAACATACAGATTATTATTAACAATATTATTATAGCTGAATACTGTTGACCATTATACCCCTAGCGCTGTTTAAACACAGTAATAGACAGTAAAACACAACTTACTGCGGTGGAGCGGTCTTCTGTGTTTTTGTTGTTGAAGGCTTCTTGACATCAGTACTCTATAATTAAAAATTAATTCTGAATGTAGTTATTGACAGTGTGAACACATTATGACATTATGGATCGAGTATTTTCCAAGAACAGAATAAGAGAGACAAAGGGTAATACCGATTCTTTGAGAACGTGAATTGTGTGTCCCTTCACTTTGATGCTCTTGGCCTTCCTCAACTTCTCAGCACCTTCCTTCTGCTCAAAGACTACTACTGCCTAAAGAGCACAAAGTCAACACAACTTTGGATTACCACAATCACACACACACAAAAATATATAAAATGCATATATTGTTAATAGGTATTAGCTGAGTGATGCATTTTAATTAAAAAAGACATCTTGAAGTTTGCTGACAGTTTGAGTGACGAGTTGTTAAACTCGAACAATTCGATGTATATTATTAAGTCACTGAACATACCTGTAGAGACGATCTAATCAAAACCACTGATTTGGTTTTTCCAAATTTCTCCACAGCATTATTCAAGTCACCGTGAGAAATAAAACTAAGCACCCCACTGAGCTTCACCGTGACCGGAGACAGAGTTTTAGAATCCTATAATGGAAAAAAATAAATAAATAATTTAAAATGTTAAGAGTTTTGTAAAATATTTGTTCAAGTGTCCAATCTACAGGTGCTGGTCAAGAAATTAGAATATAATGAAAAAGTTGATTTATATAAGTAATTCCATTCAAAATGTGAAACTTTATTATATTCATTCATTCCAAACAGACAAGTATATTTCAAAGGTTTATTTATGTTAATGTTGATGATTATAACTGAAAATTAATGAAAATCCCAAATTCAGTATCTCAGAAAATTAGAATATTACTTCTTAAGACCAATTAAAAAAATGATTTTTTGAAATGTTGGCCAACTGAAAAGTATGAACATGAAAAGTATGAACATAAAGTATGAACATGTACAGCACCCAGTACTTCGTTGTTGCTCCTTTTGCCTGGATTACTGCAGTAATGCATCGTGGATCAGTCTGTGGCACTGCTCAGGTGTTCTGAGAGTCCAGGTTGCTATACCATGGTCCTTAAACCAGGTACTGGTAGCTCTGGCACTGTGTGCAGGTGCCAAGTCCTGTTGGAAAATTAAATCTGCATCTCCATAAAGTTGGTCAGCAGCAGGAAGCATGAAGTTCTCTAAAACTTCCTGGTAGACGGCTGTGTTGACATTGGACCTCAGAAAACACAGTGGACCAACAGATGACATGGCCCTCTTCTCTCTTCCTCCAGACTCTGGGACCTTGATTTCCAAAGGAAATGCAAAATTTACTTTCACCAGAGAACATAACTTTGGACCACTCAGCAGCAGTCCCAGGCGAGACG